CGGCCCATGTGTGTGTTTTGTGTGACATTCGGTTACTAGCGTGGATTACAGAATATTTTACTACTCTCGGCTCTTGGTTTCGGTTTCGGTTTCGGTATCGGTTTTTATGGCGAACCGTGTTTACCCGTAGTTCTAACTGGTTTATAGAGTGCTGATGTCACTCCCCCTTTAAGGCCAAGTCACACGTTTTGCTCAAAGTCGCCGATAAGGGAAATGATTTAAAAGGTAAATTATTCGTTAATGTTTTGTTTAATTTCTACTGAAACCCTAAGGCAATTATTTGTTTTCCTACAGTGTCTCCTAAAGATTTCATTAACACTACCCTGGGCGCCTGCGGAAAACAAAGTTCGGTTTTTCTGGGTTCGGTTCGCAGGAATCTCAGCCTGGCCGGCTGATGGCTCCTCCACCATATTCTCATCTCCATTCGATCGGAAGCTTGCTCCTTCCCAGAGCCGGAATTCATACAAATGTGTGACTTGCCAGTGAATACGCCAAAAAGAATATTTTTGAATAAACATACATTTGGCTCTGATTTCGCGCACAATGTGTTTTGGGGCTGCAAGTGAGTTTCAATGCCATAACAAGTGTGGAAATTGTGGGTTTCATTGCACAATGATAGTATAACTTTGGGGGCATTTGTCCTTTTTGTTATCTTGGGTTTTACAGCTCCGAAACGCACTGCTCGGAAAGTCGAAGAGAGACATTTGTGATTTAATTTTCGCTGCGCTGCGTGGGAATTACATATATAAAACCAAGGACCTTCCTGAAAGTCAAACCTAACCTGTCAATTGTATCTATCAATCCCGGGAAAACCGATGCGAACCGCTTTCTGGCTTGGGTTTAGTCTTAGCTTTCGTTTCGGCTTGTGATTTATCTCCCCTCAACATTTGGCTTATGCGACTAATTAAAAGTACATGTAATTGTTAATATTATTTATTTATATGTTATATATATAATATATATAAGGTTCCTTCTTGTGTAACTCAACTAGAGCTCCGTCCGATGTTCACATCTAGCTGCTCTACTCATGAAGCGACTACCGCGTGAGATTCAAAAGTGTGTGCTAAGAAATTCTGCTTTTGTTGATTATACTGTTCGATAGTTAGCCACAATTGATGGGTAAACAACGGATCGTTGTCGGTCGGTGATCGGTAAATGATAGGGAGACCTGACCATAAGGTGAAAATGGGGATGGATGTGGAGTTCCAGGGGTGAGTAGTGGTGCTGTGGAGGCGTCATATGTTCTATCTGAGGAGTTGTAGTTAGGATACTCGATTTGTTTGTTGTCAGGCTTAGTAGTTTGTCGTTTGTTTACTGTACAAAAAGACATACAATACTGCGTATGTGGTTGTTTGTATATAGGTGTATATTATATAAGTATGTATAGTTTCCGTTTGGTTTTTGCATCCTTTCGTTAGTATGTAGTTGTATATATATATATTTAAATATATATATAGCATAGTTGACGAGTGTTCCGCAGTTGATTTTGGTTGGGTTTGCTTTAAAGTTTGTTACGTGTGTATGGTTACTTGTTCATGTTGTTGAGTTGTTGTTGTGGGTAACATTGCGTCATACAATATAGCAGTAAATAGGTATCGTAGCTGTTGTTGTTCGTGTTGTTGGGTTTGCTTTTCAGTTCAAAGAGGTTCAAGGACGTCTGGGATGTTTTCTAGGGGAGTCGGTTGGTCGGATGGGTTCAAGCCCAGAAGTAAAAAATGAAGGAGGTTCTCAGGCGAAAGTGGGAGAGTGGGGCTCGGCTCACTTTAATGTACAGTTATGCATAATAGATCAATTGTAATACAAGTAGTAGTTGTTGTTGTCATTAATAGTTGTTATACACAAATAAGCCACAAAAACTGTACAATTGTACATGAATAAAAAACTTATGCACGAGAATTTATCGACGGTTTCCAAAAAGTCTCCTCTCTAGGCTATTATTTACCTTTCCCCTCTTCTTCTATTTTTGTAATTCATCGCATATGTATATAACTATGTAATCGAACATGCACACACACACACGTGATCTATATATATATGTATGTATATATATAGTAATTATATATATATTCTTTATTTATATATATAACAAGAACATTTCTTTGTTGGTTGTATCAAGGGTTCTGTTTATTATGCTCATTTAGTTTACTATACAAATCGTCTCGACTTCTATCATTTAACATAATTTCATTTCATTAACTTGATCGTTTTGCTGAGAACACAGTTTACTATGTAAATATTTAAAGCTTTGGTGGCGGCGAAAAAATCAACAACGAAAGGTACACGGAAATGAAAACGTTTGAAAACAGATGTAACTAAAATTAAAATCATACAAATTTATAATTTATGATTACGAGTTAGGGTGTGAATTGAAGACCGCTTTAGTTCTTAGTTCTTTCGCAATTCGATTTTTATACACATACATTATACATACATAAACAACCGAAATTAACAACAACAGAAATGAGTTAACAGAGCTTATGATTCCTTTTATTTGTTTTTAGTTTTTAGTGTGTTTTGATTTTGGTTTTTTAGTTTTTGTTTACCAAAAATGAGGCTAAGCAAATAGTACTGAACTTTACAAGTTTTGGCAGTACGCATCTGATTTACGTCCATCCTCTTCTCCTAAAATTATGCAATATACAATGTTCTCGCTTCCAACGCTTCGTCTACCTCTCCATCATCAGCTACTAGTTGTGGTATTAATCCTTTAAAAATATACTCATAACGCGCTACTTAATTTTTTAAAAAGTTCATCATCAGTTTTACAGTTTAATACACCGCATTAACTAAGTTAAATAAACAAGGTTCTTTCAACGTCGTTTGCAAACGGTCTCCCATTTCATCGAGTTTCATCAAGATCTCCTCCGCCATCTGCTCTTAAATGTGGCGCCGTCACTTCCGCTTCCGCTTTGCATCTCCTGCTTTCTTTGCTAAGTTCCGTCTCGAACAAAAAACTAACCTCAAAATATCGCTACCTAAAAATCATAGTCGTATAAAGAGTCCTTCTGCTAGGAAAGAGAGAGACAGAGCCTTGGCTACTCGCTTCTACGGCATTCTTCAGCATTTCTCAACATTTTAGGTTATGTACAATATTATTCTGTTCTTCAGGTGGAGGGTGCGTGGGAAAAGGGGTGGCATGTGCGACATTTTTGCTTGGAGTTAACGATTCAGTTTAAGGTTAATTGCTAAAGTTCATCGTCATCTGCCTTCGTCTATTCATATTCTCTTATTAGTGTTCGTTTAACTGCTATCACTTTCCATTTTAATATTATTTTAGATTTACTTCGGTTTCCTCTTGTTTAATATTAATTGTTTGCTTTTCCTTTATATTTCATTAATAAAATACAATTTTGCTAAACAAATTTTGCAGTTTTGCCGGGGGCAGGGGAATTGGGACAGGGACATGGATACACAACTTGTTCTCTTGTGACTGCTTTTCCTATTTCGGTATCATTACCATGCTCGATCTCGCTAGTTTTATGTAGTTTATGTAATGTTTTAATGCATTTTACTTTCAGTTAGTGGGGTTTCCTCATATTTATATTGTTTAATTTGTTATTTTTTATACGGTGTGTTCTTTCTTTTGCTTAGGAATTTTAATCATAATTTCTCCTTTTCTTTTTCCTGCAATAAAGAATAAATTGCAAAAATCACTTGAATTAGTTTGGAGGTCTTGGCTGATGGTTTGCTCATGTTGTTGTGATTGGATTGGGGTTATATCAACGAATTTTAATAAGGTCAAAGTAAAATTTCAAGGTCAAAGATAGATTTTATGATAGCGGGATCACATTCAAATACTTGTCTATGCTCCAATGCAAAAGAAGTAAATAAAAAGAAAACTAAAAATTAAAATCTTTTGTTAGTAGAAAAATTAGACTACTTTGGTTGTTGCTGTTGCAGATACCGTAGATGTTGCTATTGCTGTTCGGATTGTTAGTAGATATCTTTAGCTATTTTGGTAAATTATTGCAGTGATTGTTGTTTTTGGAGTTGTAGTTGATGATGTTAGTTGACGCTGGGCACATTTTGGATCAGATTTGGTTAGTCAAGGCGGGTTCATGGAGAATTGATCGAGGGCGAGGTTTATATTTTGGTTTAGTTTTCGTTTTTGGTGGTGGATTTCGGTTTTTGGTTTTTACATTTCAATTTTTATCTTTTTGATGATGTTTGCAGAAAACAGTCAACCAATCAATCGATCGAATCAAGCAGCAGGTTCTCCCACATGTTTTCAGTTTTTGTTTAAGGATTTCTCATTCAAATTAGTTTTAACTAGAGAGCGAACTTGATCAACTACTCAAAAGAAATGTTGGTTTATTCGACAATTCATATGGATAGTTATGGGAAAATAAGAAAAGAATGAAAGATACATTTGATTAGCTTTTCATGATTATCGGCTAAGACGAATCACTCAAAGATACCGGAAATCGTCAAGAACAGCAAATCATAAATAAATCAGCAACTGAAACCAAATCAGAAGTAAAACAAAGATTCACTGGGTACATTTTCCCCATTTATCAGGCAGGCGCAGGCAAGCAGAAACCAGGATCTAAGAAACAAAAAGAGTGTTTATTTACAGGGTAGCACTAAGTAAAATGTAGAAGAAATAATAAAAATGCAAATTGGTTGGTTTTGTTCTTTTTTTGTTTATTTTTTATTTATTTTTTTTTGTTTTCATTTGTTTAATTTACAATTGTATTTTTTGTTGTTGTTTGTTTTATATTTCGGTAGAAATCAATCTCAAAACTCACAAAATCATAATGGATAGTTGTAATCGGTAAAGAATAGCACAAGTGTTTAGATACTAGATACAAAGAATCGAAATAATAAAGTTCTCAAGTTTATACAGAGCAAAATCAACAGAGGCGACAAAAAAACAGAAAGTGCGCAACTAGAGGGGCAGGGTTGAGGGGCATTGGGGACGGGGAAATACTCTTTTGTGTACAATATACAAATAATTCTAATTATAATTCCAAATCAATGCAAACGTGTTGAGCTACGACTTCTGTGTTTTCGTGTGTGTTTTATTTGCTGCCAAGAAATTAATAAGCTTATATAATGATTTATAATATACATAAGTAACGATTAATTGTGTTTTTTGTTTCTCTCAAAGCAAAATGATAACTTCTGCTTCGCCTACGGTGTTTTTGTGTTTTTTTTAATGTGGTTTTTATTTAAATGTATATAATTAAACAATAAGTACTTAAAAACAAAGTTGATAACATTTTCTTGTCGTATTCCTTTACATGATAGTAATAATATTATGGACTGGACTTTGACATAAAAAGAAACGATTTGTGTATGTGAAATTATTTTCCATTAAGTTTCGTTTGTAGTTTTTTAAGCAACAGAAACAAGCTCAGCGAAAAATGAATTTTCGATTTGAATAAAGCAAGAAATCATAGGGCATATTTACGATGAATTAAGTTTATAGTATCTATATCTAGAGAACTACATATTTTGTTTTAACTCTCGGATGTGTTGGTGTGAGTGAGTGCTGTCTGTGTGCGTTCGTTTTGTGTTTCCGTTTCCGTTTTGTGTTTGTCAGAGTTTTGGGCGAAACAAATATACGGATCACGAATATATTTGCTTTCGCTTAGCACACATCGAAAAATGTAGAAACCACAACAGTTACTGAATCACACTCCATTTCACTTCTCTGGGTCTCGGTATTTTATTAATTTCTTTGCGACTCTCCAGGCACGATGGATTTCATTATAATACAAAATTAGCAAAAACTATATAATTTCTTAACATTTACTTTTTCAATTTATCGCATATCCGTTTGCGTCAAACACAAAATTCATTCATTTTTTTTCGTTTCCCATTGTGGTAACTATTAGAAATTGTTAACTAAGAAAATTTCACTAATTGTTGTAGCTGCTCCTCCTCCGTCCGTTTGTCTGTCCGTCCGTAAGTACGTTGCTTCTCCGTATCCGTATCTGTATCTGGTTTCGTATGGTTAAGTTGGTGTCTGGTCTGCATTCGCATTCACAATCGCATTCGCCTGCAGCATCAACGTCTTTAATTTGCAGTATAAAACTAAAATTTCAACTTTTTCCTCTTCTGTTGCGTTATGTTTCTTGTTTGTTTGTTTGCTGATCTTTAATATTATTTGGTGTTGACAGTTTATGTTGTTGGTATTTTGTTTGTTGTGGTGTTGGTTGGTTGGTAGGTTGGTTGGTGTGTGGGTTTGAGAGTAGCACACTTACTGTTCTTGGGGATCAGTATCACTCTCCTCCAGTTCGCTCTTGTTGCGTCGCTTCTCATAAATGAGAATGATGATGCACAGAATCAGCACCTCAGCACAGATGCCCAGGAAAGGCCACAAGGCGGCAAATTTGCCTAAAAGTAATGAAAGAATCATAAATGAATTGCAATTACAACTACTAGTTAGCTAGAGTCACCATTTATTATATTAATTTTCTGTCACATCAATCACTTAGTTAAGAACAGGACATTTGGTACTTCAAAATGTTGCTTTTAAAGCTTACATACAAATATAGTTTAGATCTAGCAATTTGATGAGGAAGAGCACGTTTTGGAGATTAATGTATTATCTAATAAATCTCTACTGCGAATGGCGACCATGACTTTTCTGCGGATATTAAATAAAGCTCGGGCGACACACCCATCCGATGCAAACTTACCCTTAACACGCACAGTTGTGAAGTCGCTGGCAGGAGTGGTGTTGTTCCCACCGAAGGCATCGGCCGCATTTCGTCCAATGCATTTGTATTCGCCTCTGTCGTCCAATGTCACATTATCCAGTGTCAGAATGGCGTTGGGAACACCATTATCGTCTGGTTTGAGGATGAAGCGATCTGTGCCGTTTGTCAGCGTTACATTGGCTGTCGGTAGAAGAGCACCACAGTTAAATCCGATTTCAAACTGAAGAGCAGTAGGTATGGATACTCACCAAAGGTCCATGTCAACTGAGGTTTGGTTCCCACAACGCTGCAGGTCACCGACATCTTCTCACCCTCCACAACGGCTGTATTTGAAGGCACTCTTACAACAACGCGGGCTGCGGGAGTAGAAACGATGACTTAGTGGAAGGTTCTTGATTTTAAAGGAAACCCAGTTCGTACCAATCACTTCGATTTCCTTGGACACTCCGTCGAACTCGCAACTGTATTTGCCATCGTCGTTCGTATCCGTCTTATCGATGATAAACTTGTTCTCGTCTGCGATTAACTTAAAGCGACCTCTTAGAGAAGGTACCTCCGTCACAGCGGTGCCGTTCTTTTTCCTATTTACGTAAGGAATACATTTGTTTGTTAATAGGAAGTATGAAAAAGGTCAACTTATAATACAATCCCAAAATTCTTTACTTCATGGTTTATCTCTTCTTTTTTTCTCTGTGGATAGGATATGTGGCTACAGAAAATACTCATTTATCTACATGAATTCCACAGTTATCGCCGGGTATCCGTGCTGCACCTACTCGAGGTCCAAACTTTCTCTAAGCGCTCCGCCGCTTTCTACGCCTTTTGCCAATTATTCAAAGACTAATTCCACACCGAGGCACACGCAAAGTTTGGCCCTGGCCCCAGAACAAGAACACGAACGAGAACGAGAACCAGAGACCCGGACAGGTCCCGGAACGAACAGAAGTGTCATTACCATCACCAGACCCTGCCACAGAGCTCCGAGCTTTGGCCACGAACACTTACTGGTCCCAGACAGGAAGGCACTTTTCAGTAACCACCCTCCCTAGAAGTGTCGCCCATCAGACCCACTCATCTGTGCACACTCGCAGAAATGGCACCTTATTGTACGCTTGCTGGGAGTATGCTAATTATTCACATAATTTCTGTAAGGGTAGGGATAGTGTAGAGGATCCAGTCTGAAGCTCTGGAACTGTGCTTTGCTAAACTTTAAAAACCAATATAAAAATCTCAGGCCTGATAAGCTGCTCTTGGTTACTACAATCTACCATATTTTTTCTTTGACTTGATATGTACCATAATGCAGTTCACGTCCGATGTATATTTCCTAGTGCAGTGTGTTTCTCGGTTCGTTCACGTTTCGGTTACCAGGTTACGTCAGTCAAGCAGTCAGTTAGGCAGTCAGGCCAACATAATTAAGCAAAAGTGCTTAGCTGTGCCGTATTAAAATGATTGCTCTTATAACTACTAACAATGTGGGACCCGGACATAGACACAAACACAGGGACCCATCCTCCGGCTTGGAACAACTCCAGGATATTTTATGACCCCGTATCCCCAAATGGAGGAACCTCGGAATGACTTACCATATGAGCACGCCGCCTGGCGTACCGTCTTTCACGTTGCAGCTGAGAACGAGCGGCGATCTGATGTCGTAAAATTTCATTTGATGCTCGACATTATCATAGTTTGGCACCAGCTTATCTGGAGATGGTATAGATAGGTAAAGCCGATTAGTTATATGTTATGCGGGGAGGGTGGGTGTTCTAATGTTGGGATACGATAAAACGTTTACATAAAGAACTGCTTAAACAAAGTTTATTCTAATAACTTGTATGTAAAGATAAATATATTTGCTTATAGGAATAATTTGAGAACGAGCTTAAAGTATGGTGGAGATTTTTGGAGAGATTTCTGCGGTTTTTGATTTGATTTTTTTTTTTTTTGGTCGAGAGATGAGCGCTTGAGATTTGGTTTTGAATACTGACTATATTGCTTAGGAGAGTAATGATGAATTAGCAACACACGAATCACTAATACCAAATCAAAGGAGGAGCGAAAAAAAAAGATAAGTATATTCGTAAAACTAAAACTATAACTAAAGAATACGTATAAATAAAACAAAAGAGCATACAATTTGGTCAATTGAATTTTATTTATCCTGTCTGGTAGAAAACACATTTGAACTATTTCGAAACTTGGACTGAAATCAAATAAACTTTAGTTTACGCTGCGTATGAACTGAGATTACTTTGATTATTTACGCTTATGTTTGATTAGTTTGATATGTGTACAGTATAGTTGATTAATTATCGGTTAAGTTAGCTGTAATGTAAGAAGGAGCAAAAGTAGGTAAATTTATGTTTATCGATATAACAATGCGATACATACAACATTTAGATCGATTCTTGATTAATCGTTGATAATCAAACGACAGGAAGAGCAAGCAAAAAGCAATAGAGCGACAGAAAAGAGAATCAGCAACTCGTCACGTGTTTTTTTCGCCTTATCTGACAGTCTGATTGATTATAATCAGCTCGTAAGCCAAACGCTGCCAATTGTAAACTTATGCGTCATTGCAAACTGGCTGCCAATCAAATTCGAATTCGATCGAGTAGAATCGAAACGAATTGAAATGGAATTGAAAACGTAATCGATGCACCTGCCATCTGTGTGTTCAACAATCAGAGTACACAACCAAAGCGTTAAAAAAAAGGAAGAACCAAAGAGACAAAAGAAACGAACGAACGGCTGAAGGGAGAGCAAAACAAGTCAAAGAAAAGCAAAGAAAAACAAAAACAGAGATAGCTACAAGGTTTACAGAGGAACCGGGACATGGCAACAAATGAAATCAAGAGAAAGTAAAGCACAAAAGACAAAGAAAGAGCGGCAATGATGAAAAAGTTCAGGCAAACAACTTAAGCTCATCTTAAAGGTGTGACCGTATGTGGATGTGTGTGTATATGTAAGCTGTATGTATGGACGGCAGCGAGAGAGCAAACTTGACAAATTCACAGTGAGGGGGAGAATTCACAGCGAACGAGAAGGAGCGATTAGCTAGGCGAGCGATTAACGTTTAATTAAAAACCAACAACACCAAAATTAGACTAGCAAGGTTAATGCGATGGAAAGAGACGGCGATGGAAAGAGCAAGCGAGAGGGGCTAATGAGGAGAGAGCGCCGGCGAGAGCGCGGGGAAGGGGTGTGGTGTGGTGCCAGAGCTGAGATCAGATGCAGTTCGAAAGAGACAGAGCGAGTGGGTGGGGTGTGGTGGTTTGGGCGCACAATTGCAGCGATGACACTTGACCTTGTTCCCATTTTCAAAATCACAAAAATAGTATATTTTAAAATCTTTCTGTTTTGAAAAATCTATGGTAGTTTTAAGATACATATGTATATTATAAAAGAATATGCTAGTCTTCATTTTCCATTCATCTGAAGGACATTTAAAATTCGAAATTTTTCGTAGCATACTTTTCAAACGATGTATTTTTTCTAATGCTGAAACTTTATAAAACTAAGTGAAAGCTTTAGCAGTTTTATGCAAGCTTAAACAAAATTTTTAAATCAAATAGCAGTATAACTCAAATTTTAGGCCTCTATGCGTACAAATATGAATGCTTAAACAACTACATATATTTAAAAATGTTTTCGATCTTAAATATGTCAAACCTCAGATTTAAAATATATGTAGCTAAAAGTCCAAAAATAGGTAAGACAACTTTTACCTTATCAAAACATTGAAGGCGATAGGTGAATAAAAAATCTTCACAACTAAATGGTATCAAAAATGGGATCAAAGCTGTGTTTTGATACGATAACAATTACAATGGCGGTTTCGATCAGCGCGAGCGAGTTAAAAGCCAAAAACGAACAACAACAAAGTGGGCAAATACAAGTTGAACTTTGATTAGAGGCTTATAGTGGGTGTATCATGTGTGTTACGTATGTGTGTTTCGTGTATGCGTGTGGCTCACCCATCTTGACGGGCAAGAGCGTCTGGTGCTGCAGATGCACCTGATGCCCCTGGCCACCCATCAGCATGTGGCCGCCAGCACCCAGCATTGGGCCACTGGCGCCCGCAGAAATGCCCGCACCAGCACCACCCATCATGGCCCTTGTGCTGGTGGCTGCTGAAATGGTGGTCTGCTCTCCTGATGCTCCTGCTCCTGGTCCCGTTCCCGCTTCTGATACCACCACTGGGGGCACATAGTGCGGTGCATAGGTCTGGTATCGCTCATTCTGGCCGGAATTGGGTCGCGGCGGCAGTGGCAGCTGGAAGGCGTTCAGCGTGTGCTGCGATTGCTGCTGCAACTGCTGCTGGTGGTGGGCACGGTGGTGCGCCGTCGTCAGGAGCAGACTGGCCTCCGTGGCAGTGGCGCTGGCAGTGGGGTGCGTCGGATTGGGATTGTACAGTATGGTCGGTGGCTCTGGCGGCGCCACCGTCTGCTCCAGCAGATTAAGGCGCGGGGGTGGAAAGTCAGGCGGTGTGGCCGAGTAAACGCGGTGGATACCGCCTCCGCCGGCCGACGGATGCCAGGGCTGAGACCCAGACAGACTGGCATTTCCGAAGCCCAAATGCGACTTGTGCAGCTTGTGCGACTGGTGGGGCAACTGTTGCTGCTGCTGCTGTTGCTCCAGCCACGCTCGTGTAAAGAAGTCATCCGCAGAGTTGGGCGTCAGCTCGTCGATGGTTTGATAGCCGGATTCGGTGGGTTCGCCCGCTCCCGCTCCAACTCCCTTGGGATCCCGCACGTGCAGCATGTAGCTGCCGCGCCGCCGGTTGCACTGGTACCGACCCTCGTGCACCTTGAGGGCATGCCGCACACTCAGGTGGGCCTCGATCTTGTGCTTCTCACCTTTAGCGGGAGCAACAGATGACCAGATGAGTGGTGGAATCAACGCCTCCGGAATCAAGTCCTTCGCCACAATACTCACCCTCGATTGCACTCTCGGACAGAGCGTATGCATGATCATCCCGCCCGTGCCGCAGATTGTGCCGCGTGATCGGCTCCCCGTTCTTGAGCCAATGAATCTGATCGGTGATCGGGATTATGCAGGTGATCGAGAAGGGCTGGCCCAGGTTCACCACGGGGTCGCCGTAGTAGATGGTCGGCGACTCCTCGAACTCTGTGGACTCCTTGCTCAGGTCGTTGGCTGCTCCCACAACAAAAAGCGAACGTTGGTATAGGATTTTAGGGTCTCACAATGAGCATATAACTAGTCTAGGCAAAGTGCTGGTGCCACAAAAATATACGGCCATTTAAAATCTCTTGAAAAGGCGTGTAAATGAGGGGAATAACATAATTGTAACGCATTTTCCGAAGTTTTATAAGCACTAGAGATTTCCGTGGCCACCTTTTTGATTTCCTCAAGACCAGTGATTGTAATGTAATGTCTTAGCAAATTCCGATCAAATTTCGTTGACCAGTGAAAACGATTCGAAATCATAAAATTTAAATAAAACTGAACGCAAAAAGAGGAGAAACCAAAATCGATGATCAGTAGTTCCTAATATTGTAATTGTTTATGTGATGACTTATATTATGTGTGTTTTTCCCGTTTATGGTATTTATCGAAAAAGTTGTTTCGATTATTTGATTTCAGCGCCAAGTTGCAAAAATATATATCAATGTTGGAATTTATCTAGTCGAAAAGCTCATATGCTTTGGGTTTTTATTTTGTTTTAGGGGGAAAGACAAGGAGACTAATAAAACACATGTACACACAAAACAAAGAAAAAACACAATGGATGAAAAATAAACTAACATAAACCGAAAATGTATTTACGTAATGGTGGAAATTAACATCAACTTATGTATCCATATAATTGTTTTCTTCTTACTCCACTGAAAGATTTATGGTAACTCAATCAATACAAGGCAACAAAGAGACATGGGGATATAGTAAGTCTGAGTTTTGTAATTAGTTCGTTTTTCACGTTCGAAAAACTTTAAAGCAGCCAGGATGTCATACAAGTTTATAAAGATTCTTTGATGTTACCTACATAACATTCACGACACGAAAATATAAGCGTATATATCATGGGGCCAGTAAAATCACTATCAACATGATTATTTGTGATATACAAATATAAACGATTTAATATAATTTTTCCTCAAACAAGAAAATATTTCTTGCAATTTAAAATTTCGTATATTTTTATCTCACATTTAATTGATAAGAATTTTCAATGCATTGCTCAAAGCTTGGTAATTGGATTTTAGGTTGACCTTCGGGTTATTCAGCAATATATCAGGAAAGATAGTCGCAAACAATGACGTCAATTGTTGGACTGGTTTAAACTGCATCGGTGACGTCAATTTCGACCAGTATTAACTGCATATACCCACATACGTGTATGTATACTTGCTGCGAAGGCTATCATAACTTGTTGAGCTGTTATCGGTAAGTGCCCAAGTGATAACACAGAAGCAGAGGCCCATAAATATTAGTGTAATTGTATTTGCTCGCACACTTGACTGTATACCCTGCGGATGTATTACAAAATGGACTGTCGTCGAGTGTGATAAAAAGTATACCGAACCAATCCGAACCGAACCGAACGCAGCACAGTATAAGCGCACAATCTTATCAGCTGATTAAAGCAGTTAGCAAGCGGTCGGACAATGTCTTTATCTTTATCCTTGTCCTTATCGTTGTCATGTCAACACACTCGCACGTTTGCACATAACTGATGTTAA